TGGAAGAAATGAAGTGCTGCAACTTTTCGAAAGGATGAAAGTTTTGGCCAAGTGTTGCAACTTTTTGAAAGGATGCTTGTTTTGGCCCACACTACTTCATTTAAACCCTTTCTACATCTATAAATAGAATCCTATGGACATGATTTTGGGTACACCAATTGCATTGAGTATTCATTCTCCTCTTGCAATTCTCTCATTTCTAATTCCATAGCATTTTCATGCATTTCCTTGGTAGAGAGGGAATTCCGTTCAAGTTCGTTGGTCGAAACCATTTGGAGTGCTCCGCTTGACATGGTCATTGTATCTTAGGAGGTGATTGTCGAAAAATCGTTAGCACCAATGCGGGGCAAGTTCATCTTAAGGACCAAGTGTCAAACACTTGCCTCGACCAAAAATTCATCATTTGCATCTTTCTTCCTTCATTTTCTGATTTCTCTTAATTATGATTTGATTTTAGAAACTGATTAACATTATTTACATGTTTGTTCTGCGATATTTGATTCAAAGAATTAACTTACTTTCTTTCAAGAATCGAAAAAGATGAATCCATATTCATGTATTCTGATTCGGCAACTATGTTTGCTTCTCAAGTTCTATTTTGGTAAGTCGAAATTACGTTTCGATTTTACGCAAATAAACGGTATGCTTTTATGAATATAATATGCACATAATCGGTGTATTCCCCAGCATCCCTTGCCTCCAAATAAATTAAATTGGAAATGCAACATTGATTCAGAAATTCTTGGCAGATTAAGTGGTTGGTAAAGCTGTCCCAAATACATGAGGTGCCTGAAGTCTCGAGGTTCTCTGAAGAAGCAGAATCTTTTTTGCAAGAATTGATCGATGGATTTAGCTTGGATGATGCCTTGGAAGTTAAGAATATTGAGAAAGTGACTAACCATGATGTGAAAGCAGTGGAATATTTCTTGAAACAAAGATGCCATTCACATCTAGAGATAGCCAAGGTACAACTACGCTATATTGAAATTTTTCTTGTCATCCTGTTTAGAACAGTGGCCTCAACATGGTGATAATTTTTATTTATTTATTTATTTATTTTTATATCAGAGAGATAGACCTTTCTGTTATTGAGCATTTCTTCTCCTGTGTGCAATCCAAGGTGCTTGAATTTTTCCATTTTGCCTGTACATCCGAAGACATCAACAATCTGGCCCATGCATTGATGCTCAAAGAAGTCTCAGATAAAGTCATGGACAAGCTGATCGCAGCAATATCTAGCATGGCCACTGCAAATGCTCGCATTCCGATGCTTTCTCGAACTCATGGACATGTAAATCGTGTCCATGGACATAGTCTAAGGTATACTTAAAAGGCTCACTGTCTCTCAATACACATAGTTTACACAAATAAACTATGAAAAAATGAGGCCAAGTTGAGATTGAATTTTTGACAATAGCTTTGTTTGCAAATTTGCATTTACATTGAAGTAGTCACTACTCGGTGTCTCGGTGCATAATTGGCACAGATACTCTACTTTGGGGGAAATCTGCCTATATCTGTTGGGATAGCATGAAACATGATATTTTGTTTTAAACTTATAATAATCCTGGATGAATTATTTATCATATTGTTATTCTGTAGCCAGCTTCACCTACTACGTTGGGGAAGGAAATGGCAATATTTGCATACAGGTTAAGTCGAGAGAGGAGAAATATATCTCAAATTGATATTTTAGGGAAGTTTGCTGGCGCAGTTGGAAACTACAATCCACATCTAGCTGCTTATCCTGACATTAACTGGCTGCAAGTTGCAGAGGAGTTTGTGACATCTCTCGGAATAAGTTTCAATCCCTATGTGCCTCAGGTATATTTGGTAAAAAAACTCTGCTTACATATTTGTCTTGGTTCGTTGATGTCAGTTTCCTGATCCTGTGAAATTTAGGACTGCTCAAGTCGCCCTTATTGCAGTCTTCAATGATTTCTTCTTTTTATGATTCCATTTTATGCTTCATTTATTGGAGAATTAGGGATCCCTTCAGATTGTATAGCAACTGTATTGAACTTCATGTCCCGGAAAACCTTTTGTTACCTTACTATACCCCTGAAATGGAGATCATATGTTGGCTCACTAACCTATGAGTTAGTTCAAGTTCACCCAAATATTAAGGAAGAAAGAAAAAAATGCTTTTTATGTAATTTAAACTCATGATTTTAATTTTAAGTGTCTTTATACAGATTGAAACTCATGATTAATTGCAGCGAGACTTGACTGATTCAACTGTTCTGAGAAACATGGGTGTAGGACTGGGACATTCCCTTCTTGCTTATAAAAGTGCATTACAGGGAATTGCAAAGCTTCAGGTGCGAAATGTTATTGCATTTTATTATTTGCAAAGCTTCTGCAAGTCTACAGGTTTCCAAATCAACTCTTTTGAAGTACATGAATTTTGCAAGGTTGGGTCGGATAAGTAGCTGGAAGATAATGCTCACAAAAAAGCAATCAAATGTTGGATCTGTAGCAATTTTTCCTGTATTTATTTGCCAAATTTGTTGTATAGTTCTTTTTTTATTTTTATGACCATGGGAGTCCGGACCAGCTTACATGCACCTCGACTAATCTCACGGGATCCTAAAATTTACAGCCGAATATTCACCTCAGTGACCCTAAAGGAACTCGAATTGGTGACCATTAGAGAGCAAACTCAAGGCCTGAGCACTGAGCTACCCTTTAGGGTTGTCGTATAATACCTTTTGAAACAATTTTCTACATCTTCTATTTGTTTGTTTCTGGTATTCTGTCTGATTGGTGATCTTGCTTGGCTGTATACCATATTTGATGTTCTTAAGATCTTCTCATGTTTTTCCATTTTTCCCTTGGTTTCCTCAAAAAAATTAAATTGAGCAAGATACAAATTTCTGCTAGATCCTGGATATACAATGGTAGCCTCATAAATTGTCTTCCTTTTTTGTTTAATTATAGGTTAATGAAGCTTCAATGCTTGAAGACCTGGACAATACGTGGGAGGTTCTTGCTGAGCCAATACAAACTGTTTGTACCTTCTATAATGTTATAAATTCTTTTCTCAGTAATTATGGAAATTTATCATTGATATGGAGCCATCTTTCCGTTCCACTTGTGTTCCCTTTTAAACTGGGCATGCTTTAGTGCCACATGGAAAGTCCTTGCATGCCAATTATTTTAATTTGCTTCCTCCTAATACTAAAACCCTGTACTTCTGTTAACTGCTTTTCCAATAAAGGTTATAGTCTTTTTTAAAATTGGCACCCATAAGTAATAAATTCTTCATATTCTTGCCTTTCATGTTGCTAAGATGAACCAGCCAGCATAGGTTCAATGAGAAGTGTTTAATTTTAGAAATCTGCTCAACTCGTGTTATCATCTTTGTTTCTTTATTATTATTATTATTTTGTAGGTGATGCGGAGATATGGTGCTCCAGAGCCTTATGAGAAATTGAAGGAGCTAACAAGAGGAAGAGCTGTAACCAAAGAAAGCATAAGAGAATTCATTGAAGGGTTGGATATACCATTTGAGGCGAAGAAATGTCTTAAATTTAACACCCCGTACTTATGTTGGGGCAGCCGTGGAGCTGGCCAAGAACGTTGCTGCAGCCGTGAGTTTAGTCAATGGCGCTAAGATATTGTGAGAAGTTTACTGATGATATGCCAGGACTCTGTTTCTAAACCTCTATGGCATGTGTGTTATGTATTACGGAAAAAACTGGACCTTACAATGGAAGAGTTTTAACTGTTTCTTCCTCCCATGTCAAAATGGTTCGGCATTGAACAAATTGCACATGCAAACTGCTGCTACATTTTTCAGTACGGGGAAAGAACATGATAAAACTGTGACATTGTCATTATAATTCCGTGGATTGAAGATTCTCTCTTTCGTATGATGAACGTAAACATATTCGAGAAGAAATCGTGTCAAATAGAAAGATATTCCGTTTCATGTAGAAAGGAAATTATATGATTAACCTAAAGGTCTGTTCTATAGGGATTTTGAGAATTGATTTTTTGACTGTTAGGAAAAAATGGGGGCTATCTGTGAGAGAAAAAGTAAAAAATGACGATTGAAATAATGAAATAACGACCAAAAAATCAATTTTTTGATGTGAAAAATCACTCACAAGCAGAACTAGCATTTCCTATTTATTTGTTACGTCAATAAGAAAGAAGAATATATGATCAACCTAAACCTATCTCTTACAATTTATTCTTCATCTCAAATAGACAGAAATTTTGATCAAGAAATTATGATCCCCAAACAAGGCTAATTTATTAGTCGGTGGTGCAATGCCAATCCTAACTATAGGTCGGTGCGCGATCCCCTAAGACCTCACATTAGTGAGAGCCCTAAAAATTTTTTATGATATATTATAATTAAAAATAAAAATATTTTTTAAAACAGAAAATGTTTTACATTCTTACACTGACATGACAATTGCATAAGATTATTTTTTTTTTTTTTTTTTTTTTTTTTTGAATAAAAATTTTTTTTTTTTTTTTTTTTTTTTTTGTATTTGAAATTGGTTCAAGACCCCAAAATCTCAAAGGTTTGCATTTAGATTTTCGAGCTGTGACTTTTGAATTAAGACTTCCCTATTCTCATTAAGAGCATGTTTGTTTCTCATTTTCATAGTAAAAATACATTTTGTAATAGTGATTGTTGAAAAATGTGTGGTTAAAAAATAAGAAAAAGTTTTAATTTTGCGTGTAATATTATTTTATTTAAGAGTGTATGGTTGAAAATAAGAGAGAGAAAAATGTATTTTGGGAAAAATGGGTACCAAACAAGGGCTAAATCTGAATCAATAAGGAATTTGTCAGATAGACAAATCTTTGAAAAACTAACCCCAGCCTCCCTGAGCAAGACAACAGACACAGAGCATAAAATGTATGGTTGAAAACAATTTCAAAAAAAAATCTCTTCCAAACAAATCCTTAATTCCATTCCATAAAATAAAAAAATACCAAGAACAAATAACTGTCGCAAAATAAAAAATACTAGGAACGCATTCTCCAATCAAATTTGAACTGATACTACAGACCATGAATTTATATAGCAACCGTAAAATACAGAAAACAAGAAGCCAAAAACTCCCAAGGCAAAATAATCTCTCGAAAGCAAAACAACAGAGAATTTGACTTTTTGATGAAATTGGAGAGAAGAAATTTTGTACTTATGCCATGAATAAGAGCCTTAGCTTTCCACTGTTTTGTGTTGCACATCTAGTTTTAAAACATGCATAATATTCAACACCTAAAGAAACAACTTTTATGCCATAAAAAGATATGTCGCTTCGAGCTATGTATTTCCTTCCTTTATTAAAATATATCTGGATGAAAATGTCCAGGTATGGAGTTGCTCTGCTGGGCCAGGCGCAAATGCATCGTCAATGCATAGTTGTTCACCTGCAAGAAAATAAAATCAGGAATTTGGATAATGGTTGACAAATCTTTAATGAAAAAGAAGTCACTTTTTTCCCAAACACGTCTGGCTTTTCATTCAAAGTTGCCATTTCTACAGAAATTTTTGTACAAAATGTTACATTTTCAATAGCAATTACTTACTTTTAAGTGGGTTACTTCATTATTTCTTTTTTCTTTTTTCTTTTTCCTTTTTTTTTTTTTTTTTGGGTGGTGTGGTGTGGGGTGGGGGTGTCGCAATTCACAACATCCACTTATCCCTAAATAAGGTTTCATGAAGTTACTGTATTTACCTCAAGAGTTCTCAACTGCTCCTGATATTGAGCCACCAAACGCTTCAATTGCTGCACCTCTTGGTTACTCTCATCATACTCCTTCTGACGTTCACGCTGAATGGAAACAGCGCGTTTGAGAATGACATTGTCCCGAAGAAGTGCCTCAATTTGTTCCTTCAGCATCATGTTTTCCTGCTTTGGATGAAAAAACTTAAAATACGTGCCCTTAATAGCACCAGGAAGAACACAGTGGAATCGGCCTTAAATTAAGAAGCAATTCTTGTAATAAATAGCAAGCAGCATTGGCTTGTTTTCCTACCAATTATATTCGAAACAAATATGGCCCCGTTTGTTTCCCATTAATATAAGAATGAAAATGAAAAATATAGTTGTTACGGACCGCACACAAAATATAGAAATTCAAATATGGTGGCTTGATGTGATGGATAACGGTCATATTTTTCATTTTAATGATCAAATAATGAGAAACAAACAGGGGCATAAATCCAAACGCATCTTTCCAAGCAATAACAACTAATATACTTGTAGGATCAAGACAGCCCAAGGTGGAAACTAAGAAACTTAATTGACCATATGCTTCTAGTGCATATGTTTGGTGCACAATATTGGATAGGACTCAACAATATAATAAACAAAATTTTAGCTTCTTTTTCTTCCTTGATAATGTTCAGGAATATTGTCACAGTACAATCATATGCTCCCTATCAAACAAACCACTAATGGTTATGTTTAACACCACCAGAAAACCCTGTTCCCCTTAAACAGGTTGGCTAATGAAACCACTTCCCATCAACAGTTACACAACCACCTTGCAGCTTCAATGATCTAAAAGCAAAACAGGTGTGTAAATTTGGAAATACCAACCTTTTGAAAATTTTGAGATGCTTCAGCACCAGCTCTAGCACTGATGGATTTTTCCAAACTTTCCAACACTCTTGTTGCACGGAATCTAGCATCATCTAAGCTAGTTGCACTCATCATCTCTTTCACAACCAACTCAACCCATTCTGCACCATCCACCGGCAGGTTGTTCTGGACTTGAGAGTCCTCCAAAAGAACTGCATCACCCAGAGTTGGTGTCGCACCTGTCAATTTTAGATGTATTGTGTGATTCACATGTTTTTAATAGGCATTGAAGAGCCTTTAAAATGAAAATTCAAGATGTCAACAAAGACAAGTCAATAATAATGCTTAAAATCAAGGGAAATGGCCCACTTTTTAATTATTAGCAAGTATTAAACTGCTTCAAAATGATATTTTGCGAGTAACAAAAGTGGGAAGACCAACTAAAGCATAGAAATCACAGATCCAATCACAGTCCCAACAGGTGATATAGTTAATAGGAAAATCACATTTATAGACAACATGAAAAAATCTATGCTTATCATAGATCATGTATATCGGTCTAAGACCCTTCTCACTATTAAGCATTTTCTTTCTTAAATTTTCTACTACACCTCAAGATAACGTATATTAATGGATATTCTAAATATATTTTTTTATTTATTTTGAATAGGCACTTGAGTACCTTTTTTGGACGGTATCAAACTTTCGCTGTTACCTCGCCGTATCTTAATAGGTGGCACTTTAACATACGATAACCTTAATAGCCTGTTCTAGGTTTCCAATTTCATCTAGAGTCATCTTTTTCATTTTCTTTTTTTTTTTTTTTTTAACTGTTGAGATCTATATTTTTAATCTGGTATTAGTTGGGCAGGAATAAGCTGAGCATCTAAAGACTTCATAAAAGGTAAACCACTACACGCTAAACATCAGACTACATTTTCGGATGATTAAATCTATATTATTACATGTTGATTGCTACCACGTACAGATAAATGTAATAAATGCACGTAAAACGTTTATTAAATAAGTATAATTCATAAACTTTACAAGAAAGAAGAGTAACATGAAACAATTTATAGATAACATACAATAAAAAACCATGTGGGAAGGGTGAACCTCAACCCTTTCCAGATACTTCCTCGTATTTGTCCTATGCAATATATATGCTTACCTTCCTCCATACCTGCATTTACTTCAGCAGAAAAACTCGTGTTGCTAACCATGCTTTCTGCATATCCAAGACGAAGTCCCTGTAGGCTCTTGATAGCAGCGTCTAAATTATTGCCAGATTCTTCCAAAACTTTCTCAAGAAGCTGCAAAACATTTTTAGAAATAATCAGCAGTTATTGATTGTCTAAACAATTATGGTTATCAGAATTTGCTAAGGTAAGAAACATTAATAGGGCTAAGGTAAGAAACATTAACAGGAGGAATTATAAGGTATTTGTTTTGAATAAAATAACAGAAATAACTAAGTAAATGTTAAAGAGGTCCTCTGAACATATAAGTTAAGAAAATCAGAAGGATAAAACCCTGCAAGTCAATCTGCTTTTCAGTAACGCATATTTCGCCAAGGAACAGCATTTTTTATTTTTTTTTTGGCAGTCATACAATAGAGAAAGAAATTCAAGAAAAGGTTGTTGGCGATTTTAGTCCTTCCAGAAACAAAATTCATTTTTTTTTTTTTTTGGTCAATCTAAGCATTGAATACGCAATTAAGAAATATTTTGTGTCGCCCCAAACCACCATAAAACCTGAAGAAAATGCGAAAAAAATTAATACAGAGGTGAACTAACCTGACTATCCATATCAGGAAACAAAACCTTGAGCTGATTGATGAGACTCCTCGGCGGCGAGTAGGAGAACCGAACTGGGGAGGTGGCAGAAGAGCAGCGAAGTTTCTTGGAAACCGGCGGGGACCCCGACACTGGCGATGACGTTGTTTGTATCTCTTCGAAGAAAGATCTCTTCCCACACACTATCGCAGACATCATTAAAATTATTTAAATCTGATACAAATCAATTAATTATCGAATCCCCCTTTCCAATTCTCTTCTTTTCTTTCTTTTCTTGAATTCAGAAACTGAACTGAATCAGATGAAAAAAATTAGGAATTAGGGTTAAGGTTCTGGGCGGTGCCTTTTAAATTCCAAGCTTTTCGTAGGGAACACTTTTTGGTCCGTTGCTTTGCTTTGGATGGGGTAGTTATTGGGTTTTAATGGATACTTTATCCTGGTTGTGGGACGCTAAAAGAGGGCGGTGGGGGTGTTCTACACGCGATGAAGAAACCCATGGATTAGGAGTTCCCCGAGTCTTGGGTTTGAACTGCACTTAAAAAAAAAATTAATAATTAGTACTGAAAAAATTGCTATTGAAGCCAACGTGGTCGCAAATGATTGAATTGCTTTTAGCTTTTTCATTTTATCTTCCAATCAATTCCCGTCATATCTTATTTGTAAAAATTTTTTATACTTATAGCATGATTCAATAAATACTATCTAGCACCAATTTTGATGCTTTCTGCATATCCAAGACGAAGTCCCTGTAGGCTCTTGATAGCAGCGTCTAAATTATTGCCAGATTCTTCCAAAACTTTCTCAAGAAGCTGCAAAACATTTTTAGAAATAATCAGCAGTTATTGATTGTCTAAACAATTATGGTTATCAGAATTTGCTAAGGTAAGAAACATTAATAGGGCTAAGGTAAGAAACATTAACAGGAGGAATTATAAGGTATTTGTTTTGAATAAAATAACAGAAATAACTAAGTAAATGTTAAAGAGGTCCTCTGAACATATAAGTTAAGAAAATCAGAAGGATAAAACCCTGCAAGTCAATCTGCTTTTCAGTAACGCATATTTCGCCAAGGAACAGCATTTTTTATTTTTTTTTTGGCAGTCATACAATAGAGAAAGAAATTCAAGAAAAGGTTGTTGGCGATTTTAGTTCTTCCAGATACAAAATTTAATTTTTTTTATTTTTATTTTTGGTCAATCAAAGCATTGAATACGCAATTAAGAAATATTTTGTGTCGCCCCAAACCACCATAAAACCTGAAGAAAATGCGAAAAAAATTAATACAGAGGTGAACTAACCTGACTATCCATATCAGGAAACAAAACCTTGAGCTGATTGATGAGACTCCTCGGCGGCGAGTAGGAGAACCGAACTGGGGAGGTGGCAGAAGAGCAGCGAAGTTTCTTGGAAACCGGCGGGGACCCCGACACTGGCGATGACGTTGTTTGTATCTCTTCGAAGAAAGATCTCTTCCCACACACTATCGCAGACATCATTAAAATTATTTAAATCTGATACAAATCAATTAATTATCGAATCCCCCTTTCCAATTCTCTTCTTTTCTTTCTTTTCTTGAATTCAGAAACTGAACTGAATCAGATGAAAAAAATTAGGAATTAGGGTTAAGGTTCTGGGCGGTGCCTTTTAAATTCCAAGCTTTTCGTAGGGAACACTTTTTGGTCCGTTGCTTTGCTTTGGATGGGGTAGTTATTGGGTTTTAATGGATACTTTATCCTGGTTGTGGGACGCTAAAAGAGGGCGGTGGGGGTGTTCTACACGCGATGAAGAAACCCATGGATTAGGAGTTCCCCGAGTCTTGGGTTTGAACTGCACTTAAAAAAAAAATTAATAATTAGTACTGAAAAAATTGCTATTGAAGCCAACGTGGTCGCAAATGATTGAATTGCTTTTAGCTTTTTCATTTTATCTTCCAATCAATTCCCGTCATATCTTATTTGTAAAAATTTTTTATACTTATAGCATGATTCAATAAATACTATCTAGCACCAATTTTGCCAGAGTCCAAGTTTAGATGATCACATTTGATTTCTTCGATTAATGAATTATATGTCATTTCAAAATTATTTTGACTGATGTTCGAGATCAATGATATTGAATAACATTACTCATTACACCTACACGACTGTACATGAAATTGAAATTGGAGGATGTGAATTGAGAGAATCTGAACCCATAAACACAACAACGTTGCGGTGTATAGTTTATCTAGAGTATTTGACACAGAATATTCTTATTGTTTTTCTTCAATTTTGATATTTATACCCTCAAATCAACTTATTCTTGTACAAAATGTCGTTTCCATCACCTCGTACCAACCTATTGCTGTTCCAAAATAGGTTAATCTGATGGCTGAAGTGATATGGACAATTATTAAGACACCGTAGAAACGTTTTGTGCCAATTACCTGTTAATTTACAATTTATTCAAAATTCATCAAATTACTTTCTTACTAAATTAATATTGAACTTACATATATACGATTTCAAAGACACAACAGTTCTTCCCAATTTGTGTACAACATCAATATTGATTATATGGAATAACAAGAAGATTTTAACTTATTTTACTTAACTGTATCAAGGTTGTTTAATGGATTCATCCATACTTTCAGATGTGCCATTAAATTACAAAAGAATGACGAAAACAAAGTTTTAAACTGATACTTGAAGAAGAAGATATTATTAATTTCTTCAAAATCCCTTTTCTCATTTCAAAAGTGTTGCAAAATCAAACAATTGAAATTGACCTTTTATGTTTATTTGAAAATTTTCTTAAGTTCATGATTATTGCTACAACGAGAACAAGGGACGAACACTTATCCTGCTCGTTATACTTGCTCATGGATGTTACAATCTTTTTACGTAATCTATTTCACTCTGGTCAACGACTTCTCGTCTTGTTCTTGATCAGTCACTGAACTTTCACATACCATAAATGACTAAAGCATAAATCAGATGTTCAGAGCTCGAAAATGATTAAAAACACAGGAATCTTAAGATGTATTGTACATCAAATTTTCTACAAACTAATCCAATGGAATGAGAAGATACAGAAAGGAAACCTAAGGGCTAACAACTTATTTTCACTAGGCCAGTTTCTACACAGCCGAAGCCAAGGTGTAGACCATGTAACTTCTGTTCAGTTGCCAGGAAATTCTTCAGATGCATGACTGATGAGCTTTACTCTTCGAGATTTAAACCACAACTTGTATCGCTCTGGATGTTTGATGGTAAGAGCAATTTCACCATCCAATTAACCAGAATCCACGAAACAACGGTACTGCAGCTAGAAGCAGAATCGAGAAAGAAATATAAGTGCCAAAGGAAGTTATACAGGAAGATGTTACACATTTTGGATACTCGGAATTTGCACCATCAACAGCAAATTTGTCCTTGACTTTTCGCTATTGTTGTACAATCAGTCTCCAGCAGTGGAAACCACTCAAATCTTCTATAAAATCATCATGTTCATCACAAATCCAACCAACTTTATGCAGCTAGGTTTTGTTTCCCAGATTAGGTTAGCAGACAGAAATTCGAAATTTAACAAATTTCTATGAGGGTGCATCAAAAATTTGGAATTTGTGCCGTGGGTACTAATTGTACAACTATAATGAAAGGGGAAGACTTGCCCCTTTTTAAAGGTCGTAAACTAACTTGCTACTTGGCCAGTAGATTGCAAACCAATGGTGCAAATTTCCCTTTTGAATAGTGCGTGTCCCGAAGTACACATGAAATACAATCCAACCAAATAAGATCAGCATTTAGCATTTATTCCTACATTCTCTAGGACCACGGCTTTTATCTATATTTTATCCACAAATTTCATAGGATCCACAACTTGAGTCTACAACAACCTTTACCAAAAATACACTTTGCCTGTTAATGAAGAGTGCATATTTTTTGAATCAATGCTCCGTATAGTACACAATGTTTCATCGCTCCATACAAGTACGGAGCTTTATCCCTCCCGGCCGACTTGGATTCTATTACTAGAAGAATCAAGACACACGTATACAAAGTCATTTTTACTTTATATCCGGATGTCTTGATTCTTTTTGAATCCTTGGCCGTGGATCATTGATCTTTTATGTATCTTGCCTTCTTTGTGTCTCCCGGGTATGCCCGGAGTAGTTGTTTTCGTTTTAGATTTTGATTTGCCCGGGAATGCCCGGTGTACTTGTATTTATCATTGACTTTGATTCGTCCGGGTATGCCCGGTGTACTTGTATTTGATTATGGACATTGTCTCGCCCTGGTATGCCCGGTGTATTTGTACATGGTACATTTTTGATCTATATATTTACATTTACCGATAAAAAAAAAAAAAGGAGCTTTATCAATATTGACCTTCAGAAAAATAGCACATACTACATCCTGTTTGTTTCCAATTATTTGAAGAGAATAATCCATTTTTTGACCCTTTTTTTGCCAGCACTTGGGACCCACTATGACAGAAGAAGTCGACAATTCATGGCTGAAAGGCAGATGCAACAGTCCAAAAATGAATTGAAATTGGGCAAAATTTGGAAACAAACAGGGCAGAGATTTTGTTACAATGTGTACAATTGAGACTATTTTATGCTTGAGACTGGTTTCGACTTAAATTATGCACAGAGAATTTACGTGTTGACACATGCAGCGTTGTAGTTTTTGGAAGAAAAAATTAGAACCTCTTGGTCCAATATACAACGAGATGGCTAAAATAAAAGGATGGGGGCTGAATGTAATGATCAAAGGTTAATTTTCTGGAATCATAAAAAAATCATCAATCATATACTCTAATACTCGAAGGAAATAAAGAGACGTAGAATTTACCACATGACATTATTTTATTGCCGAGGTTCCACCAACATATATAGTGGTTTCCCACCCAACCTGCACCTTCCCTATGGAAGATAAAACAAGTGAACTAATGGCTATATACATTAATTCAAGCCAAAAAGTACAATAACTGCACTTGCAATAAGGAATATCTGGTGAATGTCCGGCAAAATGAGAGATTAGAACATAAAACCTTGTATCTAAAAATACACTTCGGGAAATAGAATAAACACAAAAAATGAGGATCACAAAAAGTAAGCCAGATTAGAAAATTTTAGATTCTGCATTCAACCAATTTGCATTATTTTAGAACGGAAGTAGTTTCCTGCATCCAAATTTTTGTATTGATAAGAGGAGAAACTTATGAGTTTGAATTTAAAAAAAAAAAAAAGACCAATTTCAGGTAAAACTTTAGTTTTCTGGTCAGATCCATGCAGTGAACTTGTTTTAATTACCATGCATTAAACTAGAGGAAAACTGCGACGTTTGAAGTCAGATCTGCGGTTTTGGTTTAGAAGGCAGGTTTCCATGTACCATTTGGTACATTAACAGCCTTGTTACGAAAGGATTTGCGACACAAAAGATCATTAGAGATAGAAGTTGAAGAACTGAAGAAAATTAGAACATGGATATAAAACCTAGGCCTATGATAGGAAGAAAAAGGATTTCAAAACATTAAAATCTTTAGCTCAGAAGTAGCAATATGCTGGTGGAATTTGTAAGCTTGATGAGTTTTGACGCTTTCTCTTTCCTCCATTTTTTTTAGATAGAAAAATGCTATCCTAGGATTTGACCCCCAGCTTCTCTTGCTGCATAGCAATAAACAATACGGGCAAGCAGGTATAATGCTTTTAGGAAAAAAAAAATTATAAATGGTGAGAAACATAGGAAAGGAAGGATGGTTTTGAATCTATTCTAAGACTATTACTTCTAAGCAATATACAGCACTGGGAATAGTTCAGCAACAAATGGAGGATGCAGCATTTCCGATGCTATACTCAAAAGTGGAAAATTAAATTACGAATAAGTACTTCAGATCAATGACTTGTAAATTATTCCATAAAATAAAATGAGGGGCAATCAGAGAAGTAGAATTTGAATTACCTTGACCTCCGGCAATCCGATAACACATGCACATTCAACTACCTCAGCACCAACTCGTTCTGAAGAACAAAAGCACAAAAGAATGTCATCATCTGTTCGAGTTCTAAGTAGAAGGCATGTTTGGCTAAGCTTAAAAGTTATTTATATGTAACCTTGTTGCTAAATATGACTGAGGTATTCTAAGTTACTTCTATTTCACATGCAGAATGTAATGGGATAATGGAACAACTTCAGGATCTTACCTAAAAGCCTCGTGGCTGCAGACAATGTTCCTCCTGTAGCCACTAAATCATCAATTACTAATGCACGGTCTCCACGCTGAACGGCCCCGACATGCATCTCTAAACGATCTTTACCATATTCAAGCTCGTAAGCTTCAGAAATAACTTCACCTGGACATTATTGAATTCATTAATTTAAAGATTGGGCTGCCAAAAAATGGTTCCGGCAATGAAAGTATGCTCTTAATGATTAATAGAAACAACAAAAATAGATACGAAAGTTTGACTTTCTTTTACACTTGCCAAATCTGCTCTCATAAAGTTTTTTCATTAAGAATTACTACACTCTACTTTTCCACCTTTAGTATAATTCACAGGTATCAGAATCTAAACAGAACGAATCATTGCTTTCTTGTTCCATAAAATCTAAAATCCACGAGGCAATACATAAAAATAAAATGAAAGAAATAGATGCTTCGACAAATTCTTGCCAACTATTGGTCAATATCTTAGTTCAGGTGCTCCTAAAAGTTGTAGAACAGGCAAAAAACAGAAAAGGAAACAGGGTCACGAGAGCTGTTTTTCTTTTTTTGTCTGGAGGTTCCAATTGGGCAAACAGCTTCAATTGCCCACTGTTAGAGCAGTTTTTACTGCCACATTCTTCATACATATTAGACTTTAACGGATAATTCCTCCTAATTGTATCAATAACTCATCTATAATTCAAACAGCCCCCAAGAAATAGGGTTGCTGGAAATAGGTATTATGTCCAGAAGTAACCATTTTGATCTCGCACTGAAACATTTTTTTCAGAAGGATCAACCTGAATAAGCTGAGCTATGAATCAATGGTTAATTACCTGGTAGCTTTCCCGGTTTGCGTAAAGGGATAAACTTTGCACCAATTGCTAATGCAATTGTAGGAGCAAACATAAATCCTCTAGCTTCAATTCCTAGAAGATAATATGGAAGTTATCACTTTGATCGAGCATGAAATAATTGTCAATTACTCTTAAATTTGATTTATCAAAAGTGGCAATCAATTACAATTCAAGAATTCCTCACATGAGCAATGTGCAAAAACTCAAATTCTCTTTTTGCCTGCACTTTTTGAACTCCCTTTTCTTTTTGTTTTAAGATCATTTGAAAATATGATCAAAAAGCTTCAGAAAGTCAAAAAAATTTGCATAATCTTGAAACTCGTGAAATTACACCAGACCTATAAGAGGTCAGGTGTTAGAACCATACCAGCAACAACAGAGATATCCATATCCCTGTAACGATCAACGAAGATATCAATAGTGTCCTTGAAGGCTTTGGGATTCGACAACAACGTTGTTATATCCTGAAACATTATTCCTGGCAACCAAAAACATATCAACTACATTATTACACAAATTTTTCTTCAAATATTACATCAAAAAAGTCCAACATAAAAGGAAAAGCATACACACATAAATTTATAAAATGAAATAGAAGTGTACCTGGCTTCGGGAAGTGGGGAACAACAGTAATTGAATCAGAAATGCCCTTCAATCTTGGGTCTCCCTTTAGACCATTCTCCGCTGCAAACATTTTCTTCTCTTCAGAGCCGAAGTGGGGAGTGGGAATTTTTTAGAAATTGGACAAATCTACACTGAGGAAGATCCAAAAGCTGGTTTATGCTATTGTTTATACACCCAACTTTTTACTTCTTAACTCTCTGCATTTACAGAAAGGGGTGGTTGCCCGTGCTTGAATAGGGACTTCAACGCAGTGTACTGGTTATGCTGAATACTGAGACCTGGTAGACGACGAGTCTCTATGCTGAGTATTCAACTATTTATTATAGGTTTTGGATAAAGAAACTAGGGGAATATAAAGATATGTTTGGGAAATATTTTAGTACATAAAGTTAATTTTACTATTTAGTCAAAGTCAAATTAAAATTCCAATTATACATTCAAAATTAGAGCAATGCTGCAGAAACAAACTGAAAAACAAGGTTAAAAACAGGCTGCACATATGTCTATGCGTGATTGTAGAGTTTAAAAAATTAAAATTAGAGAAGAGAGGATCTGCACGTTATGATACATAAAATTAATTTTTACGTATCAAATGTAATATAAAAAGATTGCTCGGTTATAATATTTTATCATTACAAACATTTTGAATCATAGAAATTGAATTTTGAGAGTACAATTTTCTTTTTTTCTTAAATTTTTATGTTACATTTTTTCTTTAATTCGTTCGAGATTTAACAAATCTTTCAATAAATTGGTACTAAATATTACTTTTACATCACTTATAAAGTATTTTAGAATAACGTGCAATGCATGTTCAACTTTGACTAGGCATATATAAGTGTCAAGTGATATAGCGGAAGAAAATTAGGAAATTTGATCCCCTATCTATTGTTCAATAAACAATTTGATCCTTATCCTTTTAAAAAGAAGCACGTTCCTTATCCTTTTAAAAAGAAGCACGTTCATCCCTTAAATTATCACTTGACACTTTCAAGAAAATAATGCTATACACCAACATTTCTAGTAATCAACATCTAATGTGGCAGTGATATCACTACAACAAATTTAAAATATATCATGATTTTACAAGAGAATGTGATGATTATCCTACTACAACATAGAGAAGGGCATAGCTACTTCTCACAATTTTGACTCGGAGAAAAGAAAAATTCTAACGAACATTATCTTTGAGATCTGCTGGAATTGTTTAGCCCTAAAACTGGCACTGATGGTGCTTATGGATAGCATTAATCTTTATAAAAATAACATGTCTCGATTTAAATTTGATGATTGATTTTACAACTATAATGAATGGTTGATGATTAATTTTCTTTTTCTTTTTCTTTTTCAATATTAGGGACCAACTCATTGTTGAGCAATAAAAGGAGGACCGAGAGTGCATTTTTCCCAAGAAAATAAAAATGATAAATTGAAAGATAAGAAAAATGAGCGTAAAGAAGGTCATACGCAATAAATGCCGCGTCTCGAGTGTGTTTTGTGTGTGGAATGGAGGAGCAATCACTGGTGCATGGTGGTCTAGAGGCAACAGCATGCATGTAAAGGAACACAGCATAGGTATGGACCAATTACCCTGCCCCATTTAATGCCATCCCCATCAACTACTGTGCACTGTTTCATCGGGTGATAAATGCTAGTTGGTTCGCGGGTTCAAACATTGAGCAGTTTGAGCATATGTTGAAACGAGCTCGGCAAGGTCGTCTCCTCCAAACTCAGCCCATGAACAACTCGAATCGTTTTAAAACGAATCTCTGCGCTGAGTATTCAACTATTTTTTTTTTTTTTATAGGTTTTTGATAAAGAAACTAGTTTTTATGCCGAGTATTCAACTATTTATTGTAGGTTTTGGATAAAGAAACTAGTAGGATACAAAGAGTAATATTGAAACTTAATTTTACTATTTAGTAAAATTCAAATTTAAACTCCAATTATAAATTCAAAATTACATCCCAGGACTATTCACCAAAGGTTAATTTCGCTCATCAGCTTGATTGCTCAAACTCGGCCCCAAAAAAATCCGAACAGCCCGATTCGAGGCTCAGTAAAATTGAGTCCCATTTTGGAGTGTCAGGCTGAGCCTGAGCATTGAGCCAATAAAATCCCGAATAATTTTTACTCAAATTGAGCTCAAGCCTCGAGTCTTGACTCGAGAGCTGGCTCTGCTCGACTCATTAACATGCCTATTATTCACGCATAAGGATGTCAATTTGGCTCATTGGCTTGAGCCACTCGTGACTCGACTCAAAAAAACCTGAACAAGCCCCGCTCAAGGCTCAATTGAGGCCTACTTTGGGTGTCAAGCAGGCTTGTGTCATAGGGCATTTTTTGCCAATGACTAGCCGACCCTTTAAAAAAAGGAAAGAAAAAAAAAAAAAAAAAGTGAGCTGCGCATGGCTTGACTCGAAAATGCTCGAGTCGAGACTAGATTTTTTGACAGAGTAAAAGCTCGATTTGACTCAGGGAAAAAAAAAGTCTGAATCATTTTTACTCGAGCCGAGTCTTAGCATCAAGTTTTGGCTGCTTGGCTTAGTTTGTTAACATCCCTATTCAAGCATTATATGGTCTTCACAATTACTACTTTTGAGAAGTTACTAATAATCTTTTCAGAACAGAAGCTAAGTTAATCATCAATGAAAGATAATATTTAAGGTAGTTGTAACACGAAAAAAATCGATGCAATCTTGGTAGAATGAGAGGAGGGAAGATATCTAAGTTTTGCTCGTCGTTGCATTTATGTCTACAAGTTTTTTGTTACGTTATTATTCCCGACTTCAATTAATTATCATATATTATTCTCATAAATATATTTGTTATAAATATTATTTTACAGTGCTTTGTTGGGGTGGGCAAAATTCAAACTTTTGTAGTCAATTTTCCTCTTAACAGGAGAGCAAAAAAGTATTTTTATGAGAATTTTTTGGACGAAAATCATTGTCAAGGATAAAATATGTTAATTAATTAAATAACGGAGATAAGATATATATGTACACACACATACGAAAATGATATTCTAAGTACCGGTGCTTAACTTATGTTAAGTACCGGTAATATGACACACCATTTAATTGGTGAATCATTAAATATATGGGACCTACAATGAAAAAGGTTGATAATTTTCATTACAACTAAAATGTGTCGCATAAAAAATGGGATCAAATATGTAACTACCAAATTAAATAATATAATCGAGAAAATTCAATTTCCTTTTATTTCTTAATTTTTTCGATATTATTCCATTTATGATATCGTTAACATTAAATTTATTTGAAACGAGAATTCTATTAACGTGAATTAAATGATTAGGTACATAAAAAAGTAGAAACAATTGACATTCTTTCAAATTTTAAAAGATGTTTGTTGCTTGTTTAAATCGCTAATCGGCCCTAATCCCAACCAGGGAAAGATCCTGAACTTCAATTTAAAGATTTACCTTGCCTATGTTAGTTCTGAATAATATTAGTGTACACAAAGCCTTCCATCCCTTCACATGGAAGGGGTTCACATATATTTTATTGTGTGTGGACCTCCTTCATGTGAGAAGAGTGTAAGGCTGTGTGTAAACGGTTATGTACACGTAGCATTGTCTGTTAGTCCTTGATCAAAAAAAAAAAGGGATATATTTGATAAAAATGCTGCTTATAATTTAAATTGACAAGTAATAATAATCACTGTTACAAATTTTGCTTTAATGACGAGGAACAATGATTATGTTTAGTTTAATATGCCAAGATAATGTAGCAACCAAATGATTCATCCAACTTTCCTAATTCATCCGAAAAATAAATAAAATCCGGACATGATTTTGTAAGAAGTAGGTATTAGGGGTTTTTACAGTGTAATTGATGTTGGGAAAAAAATTTATTTCTTCATTCTGTAAATTGTTCTCATTGTTTTACTTTTGACATTTAAATTCTCAAATCGATTACTATTTGCTCAAATCACTCGTTCCATCTCATTCCGTCAATTTTCTCCGTCAAATGGTCACGTGCTATCCCCTTAGTCCTCACGTGATTTATCCAAGGGTAATTTGGTCGAGCAAAGTTAGGAATTTGCAACACAACATAAATTTCGAGCTTTGGGTGACATTTTGAAATTGCCATAATAAGTTAGCAAGTTAAATCTTTAGTTTGCAATTAAGATCTCGAGTTTGATATGCAAAAGTAAGTATGCTGCGTAAATCTCAAGTATAATTTATTATCTAACTTCAAGCGCAGATAAATTTTGATTCACAATTCGAAATTACACTCTATTGTCCAATTGGGAAAAAGATTTGATGGAGCAAACGAGCTGAATGAGACGATAAAGATGATTCGTGTAAAGAATTGTCAATATAAGGATCCAAATATGAAAATAAAATTATAATACAATTTGTGCAATAAAGACAAATGATGAAAACATTTTTTTCAGAATATTTGCACACACAAAAAAAAAATTAAATAAATAAAAAATAAAAAAAAATTGAAACAAACAACATCGTTCAATCCGTTGGCCAAGATTTTAAGGGCCCTTCATATTAACGTGATCAGCGTTGCACCAAACCCATAGGGGTCCATGACGGAAGACCAGCGAGGGCATTAATGTAATTCGCAACAATCACGGCTCCTGATTGGCAGAGAATCAAGTGGCAGTAGATACGGGATATTAGGGAGTACCCATGTTTTACCCAGTCCGATGACGTGGAGACAACACATTGGATTATATACCATCAACAATATCAATTTGGGGCCCACTGAAAGTGAATGGTCATGATCTATGTCAGATTTTTGCTTAAAATAGAACGTTGAGGCTTCTGATATCGCGATTCGCGAAAGAAAATTGGAAATTTTGATCCCCTATCTATTGTTCTATAAACAATTTGATCCTAAACCTTTTAAAAAGGAGCACATTGATCCCTTAAATTTTCACTTGACATTTATAAGAGAACAATGTTATACATCTAGTCATCAACATCTAATGTGACAATGATATCACTACGACATTCTCCAATAATTTAAAATACAACACAATTTTATAGGAGAATGCTATGATTATCCCACTACCACATGGAGAAGGAAGTATCAACTTCTCACAATTATATAAGGTCAGAGAAATGAAAAAATCTAATGAACCTTATCTTTGAGGTCTGTTGGAATTGTTAAACCCTAAAATTGGCATCGATGGTGCTTACTAACAACATCATTCTTTATGAAAATTACATGTATCGATTTAAGTTTGATGAATGATTACACAACTATAATGAATGATTGATGATTAATTTTCTCTTTTTTTAATATTAGGGACCAACTCATTGTTGGAGCAATAAGATGA